AGAATGAGGTCATTATAGGCCATGAGGGCTCTGCCCTGGTGGATGGGGTTAGTGCCTTATAAAAAGGCTGGAGGGAGCTAACTAGACCCTTTTATCCTTCCATTCCTTCCTGCATGTAAAGACAGCATTCCTTCCCTCTGAAGGAAGCAGCAAGTCACCATCATGAAAGCAGAGACCATGCCCTAACCAAACAGCCAACCTTTCAGCACCTTGATTTGGGACTTCCCAGTCTCCAGAATTGTGAGAAATAAATTTCTGTGGTTTATAAATTACCCAATCACAGATATTTTGTTACAGCAACACAAACAAACTAAGACACAGAATTCATTTTTTAAGGATATCATGGAGAAAAAAAAAAGGAGCGAAGGGACTATGAATGTGTGAAGGTAAAATAAAATGGGGTTATCTTGATCCAAAGATTACCTTGAAAAGGTACTGAGGACTGAGTCATTGAGACATTCATTGTCATATCATTCCAAATAAACACAGTGGCTATTTAAGGAGATAATTTTGTGTACATCAGTGATAGAAAAAAAGGGAGAGGAAAATGACTGTTAGAGTTGGATATAGATATATGGCCAAAGTGTGGGGAAATGCAAAAGATAAGCTAAGCAAGTCCCTCCCCGCACCCGTGTTTGGTGTTAGAATGTGAATAAAAGAAAAACACATGTATGGGAGTTTCCAGGGCCATCCTGTGCTCAGTCTTTTTTTTTTTTTTTTTGAGTAGGAGTCGCACTCTGTTGCCCCGGCTAGAGTGCAGTAGCATGCTCATGGCCACCATAGCCTCAGCCCACTGGGCTCAGGCGATCCTTCCATCCCAGCCTTCCAAGTAGCTGAAACTACAGGCATGCACCACCACATCCAGCTAATATATATATATATTTTTTGAGTTGGAGTCTCACTCTGTCACCCAGACTGGAGTGCAGGAACTACAGGTGTGCAGTACCACACCCGGCTAATTTTTTTATTTATTGTAGAGATGAGGTCTCGCCAAATTGCCCTGCGGGCTCAGGCAATCCACTCACCTCGGCCTCCCCAAAGCACAGGATTACAGGCTGAGCCACCGAGCCCGGCCCAGCTAAGATTTTAAAAATTTATTGTAGTTGCCAAGTTGCTCAAGCTGGTTTCAAACCCCTGGACTCAAGCCCCTTGCTTCTGTCTCCCAAAGTGCTGGGATTACAGGCATGAGCCACTGCATCCAGCCAATGTTCAGCCTTCATTTTCTGTCCTGAACTCTGGAAAATTTTGGACAGTGTAATTATCATTTAGATTCATTATACTGTAGACTTATTCATCTTTCTCTTTGCAAATTTTTCTCCAACTTCTCTGTCATTTTAAATATCAGATCAACTGCTGAACTGCAGAAAACGCAAAGTAAAGAATTTATTTTTTAGTCTCAGCTCAATTTGCTCTAAAGCCACTGCCCCTTTCCAGCCCACCACGCTGCCAACCCACCATTTTGTTGTGGGCACAGTTCCCATTTTTTCTAGCTCCCTCTTTACTTGCAAATTACACAGGAATTAAATATTTTTTAAAATGTGAACTTACATATTTAACCAATATTGGTTGAGTCACACTCTCCCACTCCAGAGAGTGGAGAATACTTGTCTAAATCATGCATAAAGAAACTTTATCAGAAGGCAATGCAGAATTTTACAGGCAAGCCCTGCCATATCCTCTTAATTCAGTGACTATGTCTTACCAGGGTGGTTATTACTCATTCAACCAATTGTAAGCAAGGTAAGTTGGCACTAGTGAACTTAAGAAAAAGAGTATTACTGAAAGACTGTAAGAAGCTCAGTAGCAAAGTTGGAGAACCAAGTAGGGACTAAGTGTTTCGGAGCTAAGATATAAGAACTAAAAGAAGAGTCTTTTAGAGGAAGGTGTCTTCTCAGAGCAGCACTACTGGAATAAAAAGTCTCCAACAGAACCCAGGCTCTTTGTCTCTCAGCTAATAATTCAAATTCCACGGAAACCATTTGTCCAGCTCTTGGGAAAAAGACACCTGATTAATGGACCCCAAATTCAATGGGAGAGAGAAAGGAGCTATTGGAAGTTTGGAAAAGTCCACTATTCTTGTTTAAGTTCCTGGTGCTTGAGCTGAAATACCAGCAGCTAGTGGATAAGCTATCATAATAGAAGATCAATTCTGTTTTAGCAGCTCTGACTTGGAATAATTTGAACAGCATTTGCTCAGCCATGTCTAGCAATCAACTCCTGCCACTAAACCAAACAAACATGTAAACAAACCTCAGAAAACTCTAAGTGGGCTTACATCAGAAGTTAACAAACAAACAAACAAAACCCTTATTTGTCAGGGTCATCCTTACCTGGCAAATAAACAAACAAAAAATAGTATCTAATATATACGTTCTCTAGTTTTATGTGCTGTGACTTAGATCTTTTGTACTGTCTCATTTAATTCTCACAAAATCTGGGACATAGGTATTATTACCACCCTCAGGGAGATTACATAATGTGGCTAAAGTCTCACTGCTATCAGGCAATCTACACATAAAGCCTGCACTCTTATCCCTGCACTAGGCTGCAGGGACTCAATGGGACTCAGTCACACAGATAGTGTTTCACAGGGGGCAAGAGAGTGTAGTGGTTAGAGCCACAGACATGAGTAAAAAAATCTCAGGTCTGCCACTTACAAGCTGTGTGACACCTTGAGGCAATAAATTTAAATCTCCCTAAGCCTCAATTTCCCTACCTACAAGGTGGAGAGAGTCACATCAGGGTCAGCATACATTGTTGCGGAAAGAAAGGGGAAATGTGTATAAAGTTCCTACCCTTCATATGCTGGTCACATATGAAGTGCTGAATAATCACTAGCCATGATTAGTTACATGCCTGTCTCCCCTTAGAGACTAGTCTGGGAGGCCCAGGTAGTACTCTTGGTATCTGTATCCCTAACACCTTTCTCAGTGACTGGCCCATTAGCAAGCCCACTTAAAATCTGCTGGACAGAAAATGTTTGCATCAGGGTCCATGGCATCACTGCCATGACATACTTTAGGATTAAAATGAGCTCTTCTTATAAGGCTGTGGCTTCAGATCATTTTGCCCCTTATGCCAATGATGCCTTATCCATGCCCCCACCCTCCCACCCATCCACCCATTGCCCTCAGACTATTCACTTCAGGAGGTCAAGATCTGTATCTCTTTTGTTCTCTAATGACAAATAAATAAATAGTAAGAGTTTCACAAATATCTGTGGATTTAGTTTTCTTTTGGGGGGGTGGGTAAAGGGGGTATTTTTAAATGGGTTTAAATTTTACAAATACACCAAAGACTCATATAGTGCTGCCGGCATTGGATACAATCCTGGGCCATAAGTCTGTATACTTCTTTGCAACTGGTCCTATAAGGGCAGAACCCTTCATCTCGCCTTTATTGTTGACTATGGTCCCCGCATTATCTTCAAAAAAAAGAAACATGCCATCTTTTCTCCAGTATGATTTTCGCTGTGGAATGACCACTGCTGGATGTTCTTTCTGAGCTCTGATTTGCCTTTCTTGACTGTGGCCCTCACCTTGTCACTCACACCAGCAGCAGGAAGTCTGTTCAGCCATCCCTTGATCCCCTTCATGGAAATGATACACAGATTTTTGGCTCCTGTGTTATCAGCACAACTGATCCCAGCGCCTACTGGAAGAGCCAGGGAAATTCGAAATTTCACACTGGAGGACCCACCACATCCTCGCTTTGACATCTTGAATTCCAGAAAAGACTGAATTTTCAATAGACATTTGTAACATGTCTTACTGTATCTCCAGCCCTTTCACATAGACATATGCAGCATCTCGGCAAAGCAGGTTAAAGACACAGGTTTGGAGTCAGACTGTCCGAGTTCCAACTCCAGCTCCACCCTTTGCTAGCTGAATGACTTTGGGAAGTATAAATAAGCTTTCAATGTCTCAGTTTTCCCTCCTGTAAAATGGGAACAATAACAATATTAAGTTGTTGTGAGTATTAAACTGTTCATTTGGCTGGGTGCAGAGGTTCACACCTATTAATTCCAGCACTTGGGGAGGCTTACATGGGAGGATCACTTGAGGCCGGGAGTCTGAGACCAGCCTGGGCAACATAGTGAGATTCCTCTCTACAAAAATAATAAAAATAATAATAATTTGCCAGGCATGGTGGCATATGCTTGTAATCCCAGCTACATGGGAGGATCACTTGAGCACAAAAGTGAGGCTGCAGTAAGCTATGAACAAGTCACTACACTCCAGCCTGGGTGACAGAATGAGACCCGGTCTCCAAAAAATATAATAAATTAAATTAAAAAATAAATTGTTAATTCACATAAACTTCATAAAACAGTGTCTGACACATACTAAATGTTCTTTAAATGTCAGCAAATATTAATTTTGTTTGTAGCTGTTTTTATCCCATCACACTGTCTTGAAGAAATTATTCTGACTGCCTAAATCATCTCTCCTTTCATGTAAGAAAATATAAAAAGTGGCATCTTTACTTCAAAATCCTAAAATTAATTTGCAGCAGAGAATAAACCATAGTCTCAAAAAACTGATTTCCAAAGACATTTTCAAAAAGAAATGTATTTATAGGGGCCATTCTTAAACTAAAAATCCTAAATGACCCCAGATATTCTGAAGTTTGTCTCTTCCAAATCAGTTGTATTAGAAAACTCCCCAGCAACATTTGTCATTATTCTTTCCACAAACAAGAACAGCCATATTGACATGAACAGACGTGTTCGTATGAATAAAAACATACATGAACAAACACCAGACAATGGAATTAGGACTCACACACAAGCCATCCCCTGCCTTCACCACAAACCTCATTGTCCTATTAAGGCAAAAAGTATGTCAGTCCCAGAATGCACCTCCCATCTATTAGACCATGAATCTAGCGATCAAGCCACACATTACTTAAACACTGAAATCACCATATTTAAACACAGTGCTTCCCTACACAGTGGGGAGATGAGGAAGAGAAAAATAAAGGTTGAGTGTTTCATATACCTTCAATACTGTAATGTTCCAAGCAAAGCTCTCAGTTGCCTTGTTGAGTTTTCTTCCTTTCAAGCCTTCTTTTGCCCCCAGATTATGAAGTTCTTCATGGAACTCCATCCCTTTGAAAAAAGAATGCATTAGGACTCTTAACATTCATTTCAGAAAAATGAGCATTTTGTTATGAAAATATTATCAGTAACATATAATTTCATGTTAAAATAATTATTAACATTTAATAAATGTATTTAAGTTATAAAGTTATTTATTATTTACTTAAAATATATTAATTATTTATGAAAATATTATATTTTAATAAAAAATTCCTGTCCTCTCATCATTTCTAAATCCCTAAATTGAATTCTCCTTTTCATTCTGTTCATCCCACCAAATAGCTGATACTAGGGACAAACTAACAAAAATCAATGCATGAGGCTAAATTGTATTTTAAACAGCCAGGAGCTGGAAATAAAGACATGGCAAGCAAAGAGGCAAATACTTCCAACGGGTTGCATCCACCTTGGTTGGCCCCTTCCTGGTTTTTGCAAGAAATGGTGTGATGTATGAATGGCGGTCACATGTGAGGGGCACACGTGTCTTCCTCGTCTTTCTGAACAATTCCCATGGCTAACAGTAGGCCACACAGATAACATTCAGTTATTGGTAATGCTGATGCACAATAAAAAAGTTTTCTTAGAAATAGCATTCCTGGACTGGTTACAATGACTCATGTCTGTAATCCCAGCACTTTGGAAGGCTGAGGAGAGAGGATTGCTTGAGCCCAGGAGTTCAAGACTGGCCAGGCAAACCCTCACCTCTACAAAAAAAAATTTTTTAAAATTAGTTAGGCACGGTAGCATGCACCTGTAGTCCCAGCTACTTGGAAAGCTGAGATGGAAGGATTATCTAAGCCCAGGAGGTAGAAGTTGTAGTGAGCCGTGATCATGCCACAGGACTCCAACCTGGGCGAAGAGAGTGAGACCTCGAATCAAAAAAAAAAAGTTTCTGGAAACAACGAAGTGTTTTAGACTTGGGAGTGGCCTTAAAAGTACTTTTAGTTCAAACCATTCACTTAAGCTTGAATACTATAAAAAACAATCCTCATCATCTGTTTCTTCAGGATTTGTCTTATAATCTTACGAATAGACATCATGTTCTTTTATGAAAAGCTCACTCCATCTTTGGAAAGTTGTGACTGATACTGAGCCAAAATCTCCTTCCCTGGAACTTCTGCTCCTTGGTGCTAGCTGGACAGAAGCCAGCAAGGTCGAATCTCTTTTCCACGGTGCAGGCCTTTCAATATTTGAGAGAGGATAAATGGATAAAATCTCCTCCAGTCTTCTCCAGATGAAACATTCTCACATGATTCAGCTTACTCATGACACTTCTCTAGGGAAAGGCATCTAGGCAGGGCCACTGCCATGTCCAATTTCCTAGAGTTAAACTCTGTGATAACCTGGACCCAGGAGTGAACACTGTACTCAAAGTGGACTTGAAGCAGCCCATACAAGGTGGGGACTTAGCACCATTCTCCTCGTTCTAGGGACTCTACTGTCATGATGTACCTGTGGCCACATCACAAACTCTGCACCTGGTAAAGAACATGACCATGGAACCCAGGCTCATGTCCTGGTTCTGCCACTCACTAGCTATGTGGGTCTGAGCAAGTACCTGAAACTCACTGGGCTCCAGTTTCCTCACTGGTGACACAGTGGTTAACCAAGAAGGTTTACCTCATGGGATTAAGGGGAAGATTAAATGAGGCAGTACATATCAATCTCTCAGAGCCGAGCCTGGGATCATATAAGTTATTCTTTTTGTTTTTCCTGTCAACAGAAACGTCTAAGCCTGCTGGTCAGTAATGAAGGGCATCATTGAAAAAATTTGGTCTGGGGTCAAAGGTCAGCTCCAGCACATGTTGATGTGGGGATCTTGGGTATTTCACCCAGTCTCAGAATCTCAGGTGCCTCTTCCATAAGTTGGATATAATGATTGTTACTGTGCAGAAATGTCATGAGGCAAGATAATAGATGCACTTAGCATATCATATGCATGTGTACCAAGCAATTGTCATTGTTGCCATCTTCTTTATCATCATTATTATTGTGCATGTGGACAGAGGAGCAAATTTATCCAGGAGATAAAAGCCCAGGGGTGTGGATAAAGATGAACATAAATAAACAGAGGTGTTTCACAAGGATATGTGACCCATCCTATCTTTAAAGAAAGAACAAGTCTAAACTCTAAACTGGGGATGAGTAAATGGGGCAAAACCTAGAAGACTAATAGGATTATGGTTCAAAATATAAAAATGAAGTGGGTTTTAAGGGGCCATGTGGAACCATAGCTTCCATACCAGCAGTGGAGGGTTTTGACAGGGTCCCATATCACAAAAGTGGATTCAGAAGCCCTCATCCTTCCAGACATCTTCACACACCCACCCCTACTCAATATACACACATACAACCCACCTATTATCCCGTAGGTTTCTTCTGAGCCAAACAAAAACTAAAGTGTAACTTAAAGTATAGTTATACAACACCATAAAATACTTGAATTTTAAGAGAAAAAAACATGTAGTTTTTGAAAACAAATCTGTCAAGAATTATTATGGTTTCTAAACAAAATGGAGAAAACAAACCACAAAAAAAAAGATTACCTGCTTTCTGACACTGTATAATCTTTTCCTGGACTGTGTCTGCCATTTCTATGAGAAACCGGCTCTCTTGAATCATCTGTTACAAAATAAACATCAGAAAGGTGGTTGTCAGAAATCCTCAAATTGGCTCATTGGAAAGATGACTTACAGAGAGACCCATGTGATACTTCACCCATGGTCTCAACCACAAGAGATGGGAGAGGGCAGGAGAATCTCTGCTCCAACCCCTGTCCATTGTAATGCTGAGGCTAGTGTTCACTTCCTACTGATTGATCCAGTTGTGTAACTTGTGTGGCACACAGTGGGCACCACATAAATAACTGTCAAATAAATGCAAACATGTTATTTAAGTCCTAGATCATATTCATAAATATGAGGTCTGATAATTAAGTTTGCGAACTCATCCTAGAAAAAGTGCTACATACCTCATTGCTGAATATCACTAAGGTCACCTTCGAAGTGCTCCCCTTGGGAAACTATGCACCGACACCAGCGCCTAGTCTATCTGTGAAGCAATTTTGAAACTCTTTTTCTAGAATGACCATCAGCACTGTCGTCATATTACCTTTGATGCCCTGAATGTCATCCAAATGTCTTCCTTTCAATATTTTCTTTATCTTCAGGTAAAGGAGAAAGTCACTAGGGGTAAGATCAGGTGAGTAGGAAGGGTGTTCCAATACAGTTATTTGTTTACTGGCTAAAAACTTCCTCACAGAGAGTGCTGTGTGAGCTGGTGCATTGTTGTGATGCAAGAGCTCCTGCAGGACCATTTGTGCACACACCTTTCTCATGCCAAGAATTTCAGTTAAGATTTTCCTTTCTTTTTTTTTTTCTTTTTTTTTTTTGAGTTGGAGTCTCACTCTGTCACCCAGACTGGAGTGCAGTGGCCGCTCCCGGCCACCGCAGCCTCGACCTGCTGGGCTCCGGCGATCCTTCCGCCTCAGCCTTCCAAGTAGCTGGAATTACAGGCATGCACTACCACACCCAGCTGATTTTTTTGATTTATTGTAGAGATGAGGTCTCGTTGCCCAGGCAGGTCTCGAGCCCGCAGGCTCAGGCAATCCACTCACCTCAGCCTCCTAAAGGCGCGGGATTACAGGCTGAGCCACCGAGCTCGGCTAGGATTTTCCTTTTTTTATTGATATTTATTTGGTCTGCTACACTTCTCACAGTTAACCAATGATTTTGATGCACAATTGGAAGAATTTTTGCAATATTTTCATCAGTTCTGCTTGGTACTGGCCATCCTGTCCTCTCTTCATAAGTGATGCTCTCTGTCCCCTCAGAAAAGCATTTAATCCACTTGTACACTGCCATTTTCTTCATGGCAGTGTACAAAAACTTGGACTAACATGTTCCTGATTTCACGTCCACTCTTGCCAAGTTTAACAAGATATGTAACATTTGTTTGTTGGTCTAATTCAAACTCTGACATTCTCATGACAACAGCTCTGATGGTCATTCCAGGAAGAGTTCCAAAATTGCTTGATGGGTGGAGTAGGCACTGGCGTTGGTGCATAGTTTCCCCAGGGGAGCACTTCGAAGGTGACCATAGTGATATTCAGCAATGAGGTATGTAGAAGCTTTTCTAGGATGAGTTCGCAAACTTAATTATCAGACCTCATGCCTCTGATTCCACCCCCTTGCCCCAAAGAATACAGCAACATCAAGGCAAGTGGTATTGGAACGCAATAGCACTGAGAAACAGAATAGATAGGGTTCTTGGCCCTTACAGAAGCAGCCAAATATCACCTTTATAAGTGTTTTCTGCTCCATTTCATCCTCCCTGCCTTTTCCTTATTCCCCTCTACCAACACCACCAAAAAAAAAAAAAAAAAATGAAGTATCTCCCATTTTCTCCAAGTTCTCTTTAAGCTCCCTTTACAGTGCTCAGAGCTGGGTTTGAAGTTCTACTCAGCTACTGGTCAGTCTAGTCCTTCCCATCTCACTCCTTCCTAATGCCACTACCAGAGGCATTTTCCAAAAGCACAGCACTAGGTATTAATAATTCCTGGCTTTGTCATTTTCCCCTTGCTTATTGAAATGAAGTAAGATTTTTCTAAGCTAGAGTTTATGTGCCTTTTTGCGCAGGCCCATTTGCCTCAACAGCCTCTCCCCCAACGATGTTCCATTTGTCCTAGGAAGTGTGATTGATCACACTTCCCTAGAAGCACCTTACTTGCTCTTCCTTCCACCCATGTCTTTCTGATAGGGAAGTCTTCTCAAGTCATCTCTCCCGGTCAAAATCCCACCAGGCCTCAAAGCTCACTGCAATTGGTTTCCCAATTTCCCCTTCGTGCTCCTTCTCACTCCCCAAATTCCCAGAACATTCTGTATTCTGGGTCTGTTCACAGAATCTCTTACTTTTATCTGAAATTATATTTACTGTTGACCTGTATTTTCCACTTTCTCACTTGTCTAGTAAATTGTAACTCCAGAAGAGTAGAGGCTTAATCACATTCACCTTTTTATCTCCAGATTCATTCATGCATTTGCATAATCACCTTTTCCCTGCGTTGTTTTTGTGATACTTACTTCTTTTTCCACTCTACTACCCACACATGTATGCACAATAAAGTGAATGAAGTGTCTTATTTATTATTGATCACTTCTCAAACCTGTCATTATCATTTTGAACTCTAATCTCTCTTTTTGTCTTTAGGTTTCTCCACTCTTTTTTTTCCAGGTGTCTCCATTTTTTTCTATAATTTTACATGCCTTTAATTCCCTTTGAAATTAAGTACCGAAAAATAAGCATAAAGCTTTTGACAGGATTACCACTGTAGAAATATAATAATCAAATGTAAGGAAATAAAGTAAATGTTGGGGCTAGGCATGGTGGCTCCTGCCTGTAATCCCACCACTTTGGGAAGCTAAGGCAGGAGTAGGAGTATTGCTGAGGCCACCAGTCCAGGACAAGCCTGGGCAACATAGCAAGACCTGGTCTCATCAAAAATGGTTTTTAAAAAATGAGCTGGTCGGGCACAGTGGTGCAAGCCTGTAATCCCAGCACTTTGGGAGGCCAATGCAAGAGGATTACCTGAGACTAGGGGTTTAAGACCAGCCTGGGCAACTTGGTGAGACCTTGTCTCTACAATAAATCAAAAAATTAGCCAGGCATGGTGGCGTGTGCCTGTAATTCCAGCTACTTGAAAGGTTGAGTCAGAAGGATCACCTGAGCCCAGCAGGCCATGAGCATGCCACTGCACTCCAGCCTGAGCGATAGAGTGAGACTCCAACTCACAAAAAAAAAGAGCCAGTCGTGGTGGCATATGCCTGGAGTCCTAGCTTCTCTAGAGGCTGAGGCTGAAGGATAACTTGAGCCCAGGTATTCAAGGGTGCTGTGAGCTATGATCGCACCACTGTACTCCAACCTCAGTAACCGAGCAAGACCCTGTCTCAAAAGAAAAAGGAAATAAATGTTAAAATTTTATTGTTTATTTATTTGAGATAAAATAAATTCAAAATCAAAACATACTCTAAACCAGAGGTCCTCAAACTTTTAAAACAGGGGGCCAGTTCACTGTCTCTCAGACCGTTGGAGGGGCGGACTATAGTTTTAAAAAAAACTATGAACAAATTCCTTTTTTTTTTTTAACTATGGTCTGCGGACTATAGTTTAAAAAAAAAAAAAACTATGAACAAATTCCTTTTTTTTTTAAACTATAGTCTGCCCCTCTAACGGTCTGAGGGACAGTGAACTGGCCCCCTGTTTTAAAAGTTTGAGAACCCCTGCTCTAAACCATATAATTCAAAAGCCCCCAAGTAAATATTTGCTAACTCCATAGTCTAAGAAGTTTCTATTTTTCCCATTGTCTAATAGATTTCTTAAAGAGACAGTCAAGTGTGATTTAACCTGCAAAACAAGGAACTTCTCTTTGATATTCTTCATAGAATAACATGAAGTCCTTTAGTAATAAATGTCCCAGATTGTTTCCTAACATATCTCATCATTAATATTCTCAGAAATTAAAGGCATTGCTCATATGAAATTTTTTCTTAAGAGTATTTGATCTTCTCTATGATAACAGCTTCCATTACATTCAGAAAAATAATTGTATTCTACATTCTGCATTCAACTTTCAATTACTAGTAGTTACAGAAAAAACAAGATGGATGGCCAAAATGTAACAATAATTTCAAGTTGCAATTTAAGTCAACAATTGACCTGCCTGGGCAACTTGGCAAGACCTCATCTCTACAATAAATCAAAAATTAGCCGGGCGTGGTAGCACGCGCCTGTAATTCCGGCTATTTGGAAGGCGGAGGTGGAAGGATCGCCGGAGCCCAGCAGGTCGAAGCTGCAGTGGCCGGGAATGGCCAATGCACTCCAGTCTGGGCAACAGAGTGAGACTCCAACTCAAAAAAAAAAAAAAAAATTTCAAACTTTCCTCTCAACTAATTATGTAAGTTGTTAGGGAGGGAAAAAAAATGGCTGATTTGAGTTTTATTTCCTTCCTTGGTCTCTACTGATACTGACAGAAATGAAATATAAAGCACAAAGCCAGGGAGAGAAGGTGAGGAGATGTCCTCAGATAATGCCCCAGTTGGGAAGTCAGTACAACTCAAGTCAGTGAAGGCTGGAACAACTCAGTTGATAGAATCTGTCAGTGGCCCGATTTACATATCTGATGTCTCAGCTTGAGTTGCTGGCTGCGTTTGCCTGTTGTAGTCATACAAAGGGCTTTTCTTTGGTTTTGTCACATGAATATCTCCTAATGGATCTTATTTCCTTGCCAGGGCTTTGTCTCTAAAGGAATAGATATACCCAGATAAAGGCGGCATTACTTTATGCATTAGATGTGTTCTAAGCAGGGGTGTATAAAGTTGTAAGTTAAGATTAAACTCATGTATTTAAAAAGAAAACTTTACTGAAGGGCACAGTAATGCCTTTATTCAGAGATGGATTCAATTGTCTATCCTGTGTGGAAAAAAACTGCCTTTTCAGCTCTTCCCAAAAAGGAGTTTAACTAATTGCCCAGAATCATTACTCTATCCCCAGGCTGGAGTGCTGGAGTGTAGTAGCATGATCACAACTCACTGCAGCCTCGAACTCCTGGATTCAGGCAATCCTTC